ATTGTTGTTGTTATTATTATTACTTTGGTTGTTTCTGTTATCTTCAGCTGTGACGTCATTCCAACCACGGAGAAGTAAAACCTGACACTGAATGACCACTTCCCCAAGGCTAGACCAATGAGGTTTCGCCGTCGCCTGGTCACTTTCTTATTCCTCACGAGCACTCTATGGATCGTCATACTCATCACACTCCTGTACAGCGTGCCCGTGAGGAAGGGTTCGAGTCCCCGCGTGGGCGTTATGGACAGGGAGCCAGAGAATAGAATCATACAGCGCTTGTTGAAGGGAGGGGATGTGAATGAGGTGAGTTGTCGTCGTAACAGCTCATTTCAAGTATAACCTCCCCTTCCCCCCCTCCACACTTTCTTCCTATGCAAACACTTTTGCAAACGTACACATACACACATACACATACACACACTCTCTCTCTCTCTCTCTCACACACACACACACACACACACACACACACACACACACACACACAATGTACACGCACGTATACATAATCACTCAAACACACATATTATTTATACACGCATATACACACCTGCAATCACACACAAACACACACAGACACACATAGACCCGCATGCATTCACCCACACCCACCCCCACCTCCCACACACACATACACAAGCAAACACACAGACGCACGCGCGCACACACACACACACACACACACACACACACACACACACACACACACATGCACACACACACACACAAATTGTTTACACATAAATAAAACATTTGCATATTTACATCTGTGTGCAAATGTACCTGCATGTTTGTTTCTCTGTTTCCCCGCCTAGTAGCGTAATTAATGGGGCGATGATTATACTGTGACTTCTGGGTGGTTGGTGGGTGCTCTGGTGTGGTTTGCTTCTTCTTTCCTATCAAACATCTATCGTCTTTATCTCCCCTCCTTCTTTTGTGTGTTTGTTACTCTCTTGTAACACCTCTAATCTTCGGCACTTATATGACCTTATTGTGTTGCAAGTGCCGTAAAACTCTTACTAAAACTAAAAACGAATGCTGTGACTTGCAGATTATGTCACCTATTTAGGTCAATCCGCAAAATTTACGGAGATCTTTCCACAGACATACGAGAGAGTCTCCGGGAGTAACTCTACGAGAATGACGTCACAGACTTCCGGGCCAGGTCACGAGAGGGCACAGGAATTACGTGACGTCAGTACCAGACTGGCCTGGCCTCCGATGGCGGGACCTGGTGATCCAGGTCAGGGATGGATGGATTGATGAGTGGGTGGATGGATGGGTGGATGGATGGATGGATGGATAGATGGAAGGAATGATAGATGGATGGGTGGATAGATGGGCGGGTGGATGGATAGATGGGTGGGTGGATGGGTGGATAGATGAGTAGATAGATAGATAGATAGATAGATAGATAGATAGATAGATAGATAGATAGATAG